GAAGGTAGATATCTATGTAATTTCATTGTCATGATCACTTTCTCACCATACTTAGCTGGTCACTGGTCTGAATGAGTGGTGGTAGATATATATACTCTGAACCAAGCTAACACCATATTTCACTACTGCATGAACTTTTAGTATAAAAAATTGTAGATGCATAGCATGGCCTGGGAATATACATGGGGGAAATGCCAGGTGCAGAGTTCCTGAGGTGTTCACCAGAAAGGCATTTCACAGGCTGGTAATTTAGTTTCTCACACATTTTTTTGGTCAAAACTTTTATTAAGATATATAAAAAGTACAATTAAAATACAAATCAGAAGATATAGAAAAGAGAGAAGATAGAACTAAAAGAAAAAGACAAAAACTAAAAGAGTGAGATCAAATAGAAAGATGAAACAGAAAGTGACTTCCGACTATCTCCAACCCCGATATAAGTACACATTTTAAAAAAGTTAATCTCTTACCACTATTTAATCCATTACGTGCTTGGGTTGGGAAAAAATGAAGCTTGAGATCAAATAGAAAGATGAAACAGAAAGTGACTTCCGACTATCTCCAACCCCGATATAAGTACACATTTTAAAAAAGTTAATCTCTTACCACTATTTAATCCGCAGAGTTCCTGAGGTGTTCACCAGAAAGGCATTTCACAGGCTGGTAATTTAGTTTCTCACACATTTTTTTGGTCAAAACTTTTATTAAGATATATAAAAAGTACAATTAAAATACAAATCAAAGCTTCATTTTTTCCCAACCCAAGCACGTAATCTAGGAAGGGTTGCCATGAGGAGACAAATTAAAAACAGTATTATCTCTTATTAAGGGTATTGAGCCAAATCCATTAATTTAATCGTCCACTCTTCCACTGTAGGTATTTGTGAGTCTTTCCATCTTTGCACATATAACAGTCTTGCAGCTGTGATCATATACAGAAGCAAAGGTCCATATTGTTTCTCCAGTCCTTTCTCCATCCAGTAGGAACAATTCTGCTTTGTTTGTTTTTAAATATTCATGTTAAGAATTTTTTGAATAACAATGCATATCTGGTCCCAAAATTTCTTAGCCTTTTCACAAGTCCACCAAAGATGATAAAAGGTTCCTTCTCCCTGTGAACATTTCCAACAAACATTTGTTATACCAGTATACATTTTTGATAACTTATCAG